CTTCTCTGGAGTTTTCTTTTGTACTTCCACCTCCTCTCGGAGGGCTTCCAGTGTGGCGCCCTGTTGTTGGATTTGGCGCATCATGTCCTGCAGGTGAGCATGAGCCTCCGGTTCGTTTTCGATCTCCATCTCGGCAAGGATCTCCTGTTTCTCGAGCTGTTGCACTAGAATCTGCAACAGCATGGTGAGAAGCCGGATCAGGGCTTCGGCAATGGTCTTGAGAGCACTGACCATTGGCGGCATGGTGGCAATCAGCGGTCGAGTGCTGTGGGAACGGTGTCACCTGGTTCTTTGAGCGAAAGTCTCTGACTCGCAAAAATCTCTTGGCAGAGGTGGCTGAGTCTTGCATCAGTTGAGATACCCCTACAACTGAACCCAAAAACTGTTTACTTTTCGAAAGTCCTAACTTATCCCCATTAGAACAACTTACCCCGAATTGTGAGTGGGAACGGTCGGAGAAACACTGCTTGGCTTCCATATGTGTGAACTCTGTGGCATCTCCTTGGCACATGTCCAACATGTCGATGAGATACAATCCAGTGGGACCCGTTTGCAACGAAATGGGCTGATCTTGATTGAACTTTGGACAAAACACACTGGTCAGTTTGCGTATCCAGTGATCCCTGCAACATCTTGAAGGCTTTCTTGGAAAACAAAAACGGTGTCAAACCACGAACAACTTCAACTGACAACCACAACTTCCTACCTGAGCATGTTTCAAAGGAAGCTGTACTGCATACATACTGGTAAGAGATTGGTTGTTTCCAAATCTGAACTTCACGGAGCTATCCTTTTGACGAATTTGGGATCGGATGCATTCTGGCAGCGACTGCTTGAGGCGATGGAGTGTTTTGTCTCCAATGATGCAGCGACTGGCTCCTGTGTCCAAAATGGCATGTGTACAGAAGTCTTCCAAGCTGCTATATACAGATTCGGCTATGCGAGACCCTGCAAACGGTCGGCATTTCGACTGGACTGTGGCATGGTGGGACTCCTCATCGTCCGGACATTTCCTGGGCAGCAATCGTGAGCATGTCATGGATGCGGAGGCATTTGGGACAGTGTTAAACTTCTGCCTAGTCATGTTGAATTCAAACATCCTACGACTTAATTTGGCAACCCCGGCTGCACGGCTTTCATGATTAAGGACAAAACATGATTCCTCGGCAACAGCTGGGTGCGGACTGGCGTCAACGGACGGAAGTTCATACTCATCTTCGGAAATCACTTCATCGGCATCGGTCGAGGCTTGGAAAATTTCCTGAGGCCTCTCATCGATCACAACATGGGCAGTGGCTGAGGACGACGGGAAGGTTGACTTCTCAGTTTGGGAAGCCTGGGGACACGCGGCTTTCCAATGACCCAAGGCGCCGCAACGTCGGCAATGGCTCTTTGAGATACGCTGTAACAGCGCTTCCCGATCCTTTGGCCTCTTGCCAAAGCTCTTGCCACGACCCTTGGAGGACTTGCCTTTCCCTTTCACAGGCCAGAAACCACGGCTCTTTCTCTTTTCAACTAACTTGGAACGGGCTTCTATGTACGATGTGAGTGCCTCGTGCATTTCGGGTGTCTCTTGCAGGAAATCTTCAAACTCTCCTTCAAAAGTCGACACTGTCAAGGCGTCGGCATCATCCTGAGCAATCAGTGCCTCAATGAAATCTGGTTCCAATTCAACTTCATGTTCATCTGCATGAGTGAAAAAGGCTCTTTCATGATGACCAGTATCAGCAGCGGCATGATGTTCATGTTGATCGGCTTCTGAAACGTTGACATCATAAACCTTGTTCTTCTGACTACTGCGACCAGTCTGAAATTCATTGAAAAATCTACTGCCCAGCAACCTGAAGGCCTTGACTACCGGCCCGTACTTGAGCTCTCCACCGTGTTCAAGCAGGATGCGTTTCTTATCATCCGCACTGAGCGTCGACTGACGCAAGAGAACATAGGCCTGAACCTCCTCTCCAGTGTTGTGTCGCGAGCAATGAGCTCAACAAAATTGGCTTCCATCCTTGACAAAAAACTGTCGTGGGACTCGTCATTGCGTTGAACTGTTCCGTACAATGACTTTTCGAAGAACTCGTACCTCTCTTCAAGTTCCGTGGAGCCCCAAGAACCTCCGATCGCCTCCACGATGGCTGCAATGCCATCAGTTGATTTCACCTTCACCTTCTGAGGTGGGATACGGGCAATCTTTTTGAACGCCGTTCCCTCCACTAACAACGCAGCTCTAGGAGCTAACTGATCCAGGAAATCCGTAGGCCACAAAGCCGCAAGGAATTTGAGCTTCTGCGTATATTCCTGGACATTTGTCGTCCCTGGGACGAACTTCGGTATTTGACTCCAAGGCAGCTGGGTGCTAACCTGAGTCGGAGCTTCATCATCCGGCACAGGAGGCAAGTCTGACTCCTGAGGCGGTGGCATTTTCAAAACTGTTGTAACTGCACACAAAAATCCAAAAAGGGCTCAAAAGGAAAGGACGTCCCTGAAGTCCACCAAGGCAGCTGGAGCACTAGGCTCCGCTACCAATTTAAATTGGTAGCGGAGGATACAACCAATCAAGCAATCTGACCCGGTCAGGAAAATCAATGTTGAATGAACCCTGTCAAACCAAGTGAATGATGACCCTGTCGATCAAAGTGAAATGAATTGGTGTCCCACACCAAGAGAATTCGCAGCTGTTGCTTTGTCTCACCGCTCAAGGCTCCATCGCCGATCCTACAGCGAAGTCCACGACCCTCCCACCACGGCCTGAACCGAAAAGGCCCCATGGAGGTTATATGAGATCCATCCTGGAGTCATGATCCATACTGGAGTCACATCAAGGCATAGGTACCTGGCGATTCACATATAATATATATATATACACATATTTGTTTATTTATCGATTTATCTGTTTGTTTTTCGCTCGTTTACTTCTTTATGTATACACAAGGTGTATCACAATAGGGATCTTTTAAGGGCAAGTGTATGAGGAGGATCACCCGAGCCTAAGGTGCCAGGTGCCAAACCCCTTGATTGGTGCAAGAGCTGCGAGCATCGCGTTACACCCTGAAAACAGAGTCATATCTTGAAGCCTCTATCGACCAAAATCCCATGGCATCCTGGAAGAAATTCCCGGATCGTTTTCAAATGTTTTCAAAATTTTCCAAAAATACGGGCCTCCCAAAATTGAGCCATTTCAACGCAAAAAGTAAAGCATTCAACCTGAAAATGCCATGGTGCCTAAATGGGGCCCCTCAATGAAATGTTCCAGCTTCATGTTGATGGGGCTATAGTTTTCCACTTGTTGGGTTCCAGTTCGGGAGCGCCATTTTCTTTAAGTTGAAGGGTTCATTTTGAGAGCATTATAGTTTTCAAACAAACTGTTCAAAGTATTGTTTGTTCTTTGCAAGCTGTGCCCTAGCCTCAAGCAGAAACCTGACCACTGTAAACACCGTCAAACACATCTGCGCATTGTCTTGGCGTGCCCCCCGTTCGATACAAATTCACTTGCGTCTTCACGCTTTCCACGGGGCAAAAGTGGCGTGGAGTTTTAGGAAAGGATTAGTAGCATGGTCGCAACAACTTTTCTGCCGAAACAATTCAGGACATTTTTTTGTGTAGAGTAACACTCTTCTATCGTAGGCCCCTGACGCGGTTGAATGCAGCACTCTCGCACTCCCCATCGAAAACTGGTTTGCTACCTCGCTCAATGGGGGACGTGGTTTTCATTGGCACTCCCGGCCAAGATGTGCATTGATGTTTCCAAGATAGCTTGGAAAGACATGTCCTCTTCAAAATGCATTTCCTGGAAATGCGCTTCAAACATAGACTACTTTAGTGTTATCTGCATTCGGGACTTTGTCAAAGGCGCGAAGACAGATGCGTGGACCAATCATAGCTGCATTAGAGAGATCAGATGTTTATGACATGAGTTCTCCATCCAGCCCGGCTCCATACACGGGAATAGCGGAGCGAATCAGAACAGAATGGTGATGTGACACTCTGTGACGGCACTGAGGAAATTCTGCAACCATGGATGCAGATGGTTTCCCCACCCCGGTGGAGTCTAGCAAGATTTCACAGGGGACAGAAGCAGGTTGCTAGCCATTTGAACCAGTGTGTCCGAGATGGACGTATTCCGAGCCAAGCAGTGCAAAAGCATACGCACAGTATCTTGAGTCTATCGGAAGAGATTTGCTGAGCAAAGACTGTTGGCAAATGCGTTGACTTTCAATCGGATTTATTGCTTCAATCTGATGCCAACCCTTCGAATTTACAACAAAAGTGAGAGATTTTGTGAGGGCCGTTTGGTTTTCTTGCCCATTGTGACAATGCAGAGGTGTGCGCTTTGGCGGTCCACAAGCAGGGCCTGAGGCCCGCTCCATGGGTATAGCCGGCTATGGCATGCTTCCATGCCTTTTTGCACTTGGATGGATTTCGGTTCGGGTGGATGGCAGGAAAGAATGCATAGAATGCAAAGAATGCCTATGCCACAGGCTTCCACAGGTCGTTGAGGTACCAGAAGATTTTTCATTCACATTTTTATGAACACTCTTTCCTCATGAGATTCCCGGCAAAAGAGCGTATGATCACAGGCGTTGTTGGGCGCTGTCAGCTTTCTCCAAGAGGAGGATCTCAAAGGTCGCGATGTTTTAGAGCCTGGCGCTGGCAGATTCCTGTGTGTTTGTGTCTTTCAAGCCTGTAAATGTGTATATATATATATACATCTCTCTCTCTCTCTCTCTCTCTGTTTGTCTGTCGCTCTGTCGCTCTGTCGGTCTGTGTGTGTGTTCCGCTTCTTTCCAAGGGATTTCATGAATTGTGTTTATACATGTTTTTCAAGGAGTTCGGCCACATATATTTATCAAATATAAATATATTCAAGCGAATCGAGCCAGAATCCGAAAAAACAGCCTCAAACGTATGGACTCTTTAACTTTTAGTTTCGTCAATTTACTCGGTTTGAAGTGAAGTGTTTCTTCTTTCATTCAGTTTCTCGGGCAAGATGCGCTGAGGAGATGCGATCGGCCTGCTGGGCTTGCGAGGGTTGGGAGAGGCAGGAGATTGTGTGGCTTTGCGATCCCAAGGACCCCCGACTGGCCCGACTGGGACATCAAGCGACCCATCCGATCCAATCTTCTGTTTTCGGATGTTTCACATCAGGACAAGTAGACAGGTGCGAAGTATGTTCCAAATGTGTAATCTTGAAACAGAAGTTCCGTTTTAAACTCAAGGCATGCATCAAATTCAGTGTTCGTGCACGGTGTGCTGACGACACCCCAGGAGTCACCAAAAGCGGTCTGGGCCTTTACATCTTTGGACGCTTTTCGCCGACCTTTGCGCTTGTATCCAGAAGGCCTGTCCCACAGGGCACGAGCTGGATTCCTGCTTCGGCAATTGTTTGTGCAATTGGTTCCTTTGGTTAGGGTCTTTAGGGTCTTCGGGCATTTCATTTTGACGAAGTTGCCAAGCATGAACGGGAACAGTGATTGATCACGCTGGGTTCTCCCACGCACTTGATCCGTGCCCATTGCTTGGAACTTGTGCACCAATGATATGCCTAGACAGAATCGTGTGATGTGTCACTTGGATATACTTTGTTGATCTTTGTTGATCTTTGTTGCTCTTTGTTGATAGTTGCACCGAACCTTTTCAAGCTTAGTAATGCGGTTGTTGCAAGACTTGCAAATCTTTGGGATAGAGCGCTGCTATAATCTACAACAGCAACTCTTGGAAGATTTGGAAGACATGAATCTTGGAAGGAATGTGTTTGAACCTGTTCAAAATAGGCAACTCATGTAGATTCGAAGGCTTGCGCTGTGGAAGAAGTTTATTGTGGGATGGTTTCGTACTATATGTAGGACAGCTCTGAAAATGGTCTCTGTGAAGACTTGTATCTTGGGAGAAACAGTTAGGTAATGAGCGAATGTATGTATGAAAGGTGAACCTTCAAAGACTTGTATGTTTTGAAAAATGCATCTTGCGATGGGCAACATGTGTGCGGTATATGGTGTGTGGTTATATCTTTTATCTTGGAAAACTTGTATCTTCAGGATAATGGAATTATTTTGCGCGGGCAAAATATGCTGCGCAGACATCTGCAAAAGATGTATCTTGCAAGACCCTTTTTGAACAACGCATCTGTAGCAGCGGTGAGCGAAGATGCCAAGTGTTCTTGGGAGACTTTTCGTCGTGTGAGAAGTTTGTCTCATGAGGGTAAGACATGTAGCGCATGCATTTAGGAACAGGGAATCTTGGACGACTGGCTGGTATCTTGCGGCTTGCGGATCTATATGATTCAATTGGATAGCTGAGAACAAACCTCCTAAAGGGGCATGTTGGACGATTTATATCTGGGAGGAAGTGTTTGTAGATAAGTCGCTAGGGCATACATCTACGAAAAAATCTATAGTCTATAAAAAAACATCTAGGTTTGTTAGCGCAAATATCTTCTATGGGGAGAACAACGTATCTTGGACGATTTGCATCCTCGGAGGATTAAACCTATAAAGGTAGTGAGCCCACATACCTTCTAAAAGTGTATCCTGGAAGACTTGCATCTTGGGAGAAGTATGTCTCCTCAAATAGGTTTCATTAGGCTCTTGGGAGACATGTATTTTGGGATGAGTTTGTCTTGTGATCGCCCCTTCACCCGATTGACATCACAACGCTGGGGGTTCAGAGGAAATCGTTCTTCTACGTTGTTCTGCTGTCGCGTTCTTCGGGTTTCTTTGGGTTTGACCACGAAAAAGTGTATCATAGGTGTTGCATTGCGAGGCGCACAGGGTCAATGGCGCAGCTATAAAGCAGCTCGTATGGTGCCTCCAGGCTACAGGCGGAAATGAGATGAAAACTGATGACAAGTGACATGAGTTCAAGATGTTCAAGTCATTCCACAATGGTTCGATCCGTCTTCGAGGCTCAAGGTTCTTTTCCAAGTCGACTCCACTTTGAGGCTGGGGAGACCGGTCAATATCTTGTAGAACGGGACGGATTGGATTGACGTTAATCAACCTTTCCTCAACTTTTCCAGTTTGAATGGAAGTCAAGTTTGGTTCAGACAGGGTGATAGTAGCAGTTCGAGTCAAGCTATGAGAAGACTGAGCTTATTTGTTGACTTCCTCAATTGCCTGTTCACTGCTTCGCAGTGTAGCTTTCAGTATCTTTCAGTTTTGTGCCACAAGTGGAGTAGGTGCTGTATAACGGTTTTCTCAAGGTTGATTATCCTTATGATTGTTCCCTTCTCTTCTGGATCTGTTGATACACAGTGATACACATGTGCATTCACTTGATGAACTTTGTTTCAATTCTTTCTTCAAGTTGATGACTTTGATGGACTTTGGTGACAATTTGTTGACAGAGGCTGTTGCCGGAGGAGCGAATCTCCCAGCCGGTGGAGATCACCCTGCGAATCTGCAAGGCTCGAGACCGAGCACAATCGTTTCGACTGTCTGGGCCATTTGTTAGGCGACAGATGTTTCGATGAAGTTTTGATGATGTTTACTGAAAGCTCTTGAAGTCCGGCTGTCGGAGTTAGGCAGAATGGGTTTTTGGAAAGTGCTGTTGCAACATTGTTTTATATTGGATTTGTGCCTTGCAGCCAATGTTTTTAATTTGGAATTTTGGATGTTGCAGCATGTGCTGGCTTGAAAGAGGTGGCTTCCCAAAACGTTTGGACATGAAATCTAAAGAGCCAAAGTCGAGAATGTGTTGATTCTTAAAGTAGTCCTTATCTATTAGATCAAAAGCATGTTTCTCCTCTTCTTGGGGCATATACTTTCAGCAACTGCGCGTTGTTCCCCACATCTTTGTGTGGGGTTCTTGTTTTTGGTTCTGTACCCCGCCGCCTCCTCCTCCTTCCGCCTCCTCCGACTCCCGCCACTCACTTGTCATCACACAACTTGCTCACACACAACGTGCAACTTGCCCACACACAACTTGACTTGTCATCCCACAACTTGTCCTCACAACTTGCTCACACACAACTTGCCCACACACAACTTGTCATCACACAACTTGCCATCACACAACTTGTCATCACACATCTTGTCATCACACAACTTGTCATCACACAACTTGCTCACACACACTTTGTTGCTCACCAACTTGTCCTCACACAACTTGTCCACACACAACTTTTCCGCACACAACTTGCACACACACAACTTGTCCCCACACAACTTGTCCGCGGCTTTTTGCGTGGCAGGCGTGGCACTTGGTGACATGGACTTCCACTTTGCGTGGCAGGCGTGGCACTTGGTGACATGGATCGTCACTTTGGGTGGCAGGCGTGGCACTTATGGCACTGGGCTGGCTCCGGTGGCGCGCTTGGGCCGGAGTGGACGGGGTGGACGCTGCGGCTTTTTGCGTGGCAGGCGTGGCACTTGGTGACATGGACTTGCACTTTGCGTGGCAGGCGCGGGCGCCTGGCCAGCTTTAAGGCAGGGAGTTGTGCAGGTTGCGTGGTTCTTGTCGGCTTGGGCTCGTGGATTGTCACGCTCGGTTAGTCTCGACGATCCATGAGGCGGCGCTGACCATGGAGCCTCTCTTGGAGGAGCTGCATGCCTCTCGCCGCGTCTACTTCTCAGCGGCATTGCTTTCATGCCCGGAGGAGCATCCCATGCGGTTCCTGTCGCACAGCAATTTTCGCAAAGCGTTCCGTCCTCAAGATTTTCCAGTCGTGGGCTTGGAAATTCCTGCGTGACCGCCAGGAAGAATGGCCAGGTATACTTGGCAGGTTCATGGCTTAGCGCGCGTGTGCGTATGTTTGCTTGCATCACGTGGACGTTGTTGGTATTGTCTAATTGTTGGCGGTTTTCTTGCAGGCCCAAGATGCCTTACCTTTGTGGACCCCAGACATCAAGACGAGCAGGAGGACGAGGACTATGCAATTGGAATCCGATGGAATCATTGGCGAGATTGGAGTGGGTGGCATTCTTGGAACGATTGGTTGGAATGGAAGATCCAATCCCGGCGTCTCCAAGCACATTCAGTTTGAAACTGGTTTCACAAGGGCACACAGCTGGCCACATTTCTGAGTTTGAAGATGGAAAAAGCGAGAGTGTGACCATGTGCCCCGTTTTTTCCATGTTCATTCATGATCAGTCATGAAAGCATGTTGGAACTGCTGTGGGCGCAGCGCTGTGTGCTACGTCGCCCAGAAATCAGATCCGGTTGGCAACGAAAGACTACTTGTGGTTTACTCATGTAGATTTGATCCTTGCTGCCTTTGCAACATTTCTTTTTTTTCTGTAGCTTGTGTTCTGCCTCGAGCAGTCTGAAAGCCATGGCAGCAGAGGTGGACAAATGTGGTGTTCTGAATAGACATCCGCAACGTACCAGCCATTGCAAATATTTGCAGACCAGTAAAGGTGGCGCAAGCAAATGATTTTTGTTTTCGTTGTTGCTAGGCCGCCAGGCAGACAACACCTCGGCGCATCAACGGGATCCCCCGTATATAAATATATACACATAGCTCACCCCACCTTCGAGGACCTACATTTTCACCTGTGATCTGCTAAACATGCTTATACATTTTACACAAATAAGGCAAACTGTACAATATAGATATTTGAAACATGTGTGCAAATGTATATTTGACAATAAAGTTAAATACACATACTGCAAAAAGATCAATATTCTGAAACTCTTTGGGGGGGGCCCATGGAGAAATGTAACACTTGGTGACATGGATCGTCACTTTGCGTGGCAGGCGTGGCACTTATGGCACTGGGCTCGCTCTGGTGGCGCGCTTGGGCCGGAGTGGACGGGGTGGACGCCGCGGCTTTTTGCATGGCAGGCGTGGCACTTTTGAGACATCCACCTTACTTTCACGTGGCAGGCGTGGCACTTGGTGACATGGATCGTCACTTTGCGTGGCATGCGTGGCACTTATGGCATTGGGCTGGCTCCGGTGGCGCGCTTGGGCCGCCGCTTTTTGCGTGGCAGGCGTGGCACTTGGTGACATCGACCTGCACTTTGCGTGGCAGCCGTGGCACCTGGTGACATGGATCGTCACTTTGCGTGGCAGGCGTGGCACTTTTGGCACTGGGCTGGCTCTGGTGGCGCGCTTGGGCCGGAGTGGACGGGGTGGACGCCGCGGCTTTTTGCGTGGCAGGCGTGGCACTTGTTGACATGGACTTGCACTTTGCGTGGCAGGCGTGGCACTTGGTCATGGATCTTTGCGCGGCAGGCGTGGCACTTATGGCACTGGGCTGGCTCTGGTGGAGTGGACGGGGTGGACGCCGCGGCTTTTTGCGTGGCAGGCGTGGCACGACATGGACCACTTTGCGTGGCAGGCGTGGCACTTTTGGCACTGGGCTGGCTCTGGTGGCGCGCTTGGGCCGGAGTGGACGGGGTGGACGCCGCGGCTTTTTGCGTGGCAGGCGTGGCACTTGGTGACATGGATCGTCACTTTGCGTGGCAGGCGTGGCACTTATGGCACTGGGCTGGCTCTGGTGGCGCGCTTGGGCCGGAGTGGACGGGGTGGACGCCGCGGCTTTTTGCGTGGCAGGCGTGGCACGACATGGATCGTCACTTTGCGTGGCAGGCGTGGCACTTACGGCGCTGCGCTGGCTCCGGTGGCGCGCTTGGGCCGAAGTGGGCGCGGTGACCGCCCTGCTGTGCACAGACACTTGCTGTGGCACTTGCACTTTTGTATACACAGTGACATGTTTGTGTTGGATGAGATTTTCGTACCTGCGTCATCTGTAGCCATTTGACAGCATGCAGTCAGACAGCAATGACACCTTTCCTTGGTTTCGGGGCACTAGGGGCACTGGGGGCACTAGGTATCACTGGCAGGCACCTTTGCAGGGATTAAGCGGTGCTTGGCATCTCGTCCGTGAAGAGCGATACCGATCAGTGGCTCATCGATTCTTGTGTCAAGTGCAAGAAAGCGGCTCCGTGCGAGGCAAAGTGCATGTTTACATACTCGCACACATGCGCACGTGTGCTCACGCTTCCAGATATTACCAGTAGTACCGCACAAGGCGGTGGCGGAAGTTTCAAAAATAGGAAACCTATAGGAGAGGTTGGTTGTTGTGATTCACGGATGGCAGAGCGAAGCCATTGATGGACTGAAAGGTGCTTGAGGTCTCCTCTCTCTCTCTCTCTTTCTCTCTGGCCCTCTATCTTTCTCTGATTATCTACCTACCTACCTACCTACTGATCTATCTGTCTACCTATCTATCTGTCTGTCTGTCTATCTATCTCCCTATCTATCTACCTACCTATCTATCTAGCTGTCTAGTTTTCTAGCTATTTGTCTATCTATCTGTCTATCTATCTATCTGTCTATCTATCTATCTCTCTCTCTCTCTCTAACTCTCTCTCTCTCTCCCCCTTTCATCTGTCTATCTGTCTAGCTGTCTACCTGTCTTTCTGTCTATCTATCTATCTATCTGTCTATCTGTCTACCTGTCTATCTATGGTGCAGTGTCATTCAGTGCAATGTAGCGTAGTGAAATGTAGTGTAGTGTAGTGGAGTGTAGTGGAATGTAGTGTATTGTAGCGTAATGTAGCGTAATGTTATTTAGTGTAGTGGAGTGTAGTGGAGTGTAGCGGAGTGTAGTTGTAGTTGTAGCTGTAGTTGTAGTGTAGTGGAGTGTAGTGCAGTGTAATGTAGTGAAGTGTAGTGGAAGGTCGTGTAGTGTAATGTAGTGTAGTGTAGTCTACTGGACTGTAATGTAGTGTAGTGTAATTTAGTGTAGTGAAGTGTAGTGGAGTGTAGTTGTGTAGTTGTAGTTGTAGTGTTGTGGCGTGTAGTGTAGTGTAATGTAGTGAAGTGTAGTGGAAGGTAATGTCGTGTAGTGTAATGTAGTGTAATGTATAGTAGTGGAGCGTAGTGTAGTGTAATGTAGTGTGGTGTAGTGTAGTGGAAGGTAGTGTCGTGTAATGTAGTGTAGTGTAGTGTAATTTAGTGTAGTGAAGTGTAGTGGAGTGTAGTTGTGTAGTTGTAGTGTTGTGGAGTGTAGTGTAATGTAGTGAAGTGTAGTGGAAGGGAGTGTAGTGTAGTGTAATGTAGTGTAGTGTAGCGGAGTGTAGTGTAGTGTAATGTAGTGTAGTGTAGTGTAATTGAGCGTAATTGAGTGCAGCAGTGGTAGTGTAGTGGAGTGTAGTGTAGTAGAATGTGGTGCAGGTGTAGTTGTAGTTGTAGTTGTAGTGTAGTGTCATGTATTGGAATGTAGCGTGGTGTAGTGGTGGTTGTAGTTGAAAATGCTTCAAAATTCTCACGTTTTGCTCACTTTTGACCAGGTGCAAAATCCCTTGCGCCTGCCACACGAAGCGACATCTGAACCTCCAAAAGTGGTCCGAACTCCTGGTGTTTTTTACAATTTGACTTCGACATTTGCTTTGTGCCACAACGGCGTGCATTTTTTCGACATCTCAAGTGCCAAAAGTGGTCCGCACCCCTAGTGTTTTTAACATTTTGACTTGGAAATGTGCTTCGCGCCACAACGGCGTGCAATTTTTCATCTCTCCTCTGGCCAGCTGGCTCCGCACCCGCCGCTTTAGCGAGCCTACTTTTCGACCCTCCGGAGCCACAAATCATTGGAAAAACACAGTGAATCGCGACTTTCCTACCTTTTTGCGCATCTCCATCTTCTTTCTTCTTGCTCTTTCTCTTCTACTCTTCTCTCTTCTGATCTTTCTCTTCTCTCTGCCTCTGCCCTGCTCTGCTTTTCATCTGTCCATATTGTCGGAAGTTTGACTTCTAAACTTCCTTCGATTATACAGGTTGTGAACTAATTATACATGGGTCATCCCCTCGTGTGACCAGGTGCACCCTACCGAAGGCACAGAGAGGCGCTTCGCTTTGCGGTTCACTTTGGCCGATTCCAACTGCCAGTGCACGGTCGTCCTCTACCACGAGCTGGTCCTGCGAGCGGCCGCTGACATGGATGCTGCTCTTCCGGAGGGAGTCCAAGATACGCAGCCGGTGCGTGCCCAGCTCCGTGATCTCTTTCGCAGTGGCTGTGTCGCTTCACCTTCCGGGAGAATGATTACCAGCAGACATTGGAGTTGGAATGTCGACACCTGACGCCTTGTCTGTTGTCGCACCTGAAGCGCTGAACAGGAAAGTGTCGCATTGCCAGATGAACAACGGTTGCCCAGTGGCGCCATTGGCTACGTTGCAGGTGGATGCCCAGCTTGGCTTGATTTCGGTGGATGACGTGGAAGCTAGCTTCGTCAGATGCTTGGTGGCCTTCAATGACGAACAGCTCCCCGACGACGAAGCTGTGTAGCAGGACAACACGTCCACCTCGGCAATGCGCATCAAGCGCTCCGTGGACTGCCTCTTGTCTGCCCCGGGCCGAGCCGGGTGAAGCTGCGTTGCGCTGGCCCTGCATCGGCGGTGGCATGGCTGCTGCGGGGCAACGTGGGCGAGGCGCATTTCGTGGTGCTTGCTCACACCTCAGATGCTGCAGGGAGTCAAGAACTTCATGCTGCGGATCTATGAATCTGAGGTCAAAAGCCCACAAACACTCACCTACGACCAGGCATGGACTCCAATGAAGCGTCTTGCAAGCGTCATGGAGACAGCGCCGGAGGACGCGTCGATGACTGAGGATGCCGCGTAAGGAGGCCCTGCGGTGCACGCGACTGGATTGCCGCGCCGTGCGAAGATTCCTTGTCGCTGCTAGCGGCTCTGCGGTGCGCGCGCCTAGATTGCCGCGCCGTGCGAAAATTTGGCGTCGCTCCCGCAATTTTGAAATCGCGCTCAGTGCCGAAAAAAAAGAGCTGCTAAATCACATGGCATGTGCGTGCGCAGGATCCGATGCTGTCCAGCGGCACGTCTGGTGAAAACGTTTGCTGCCAGGTACCGCCTTCATCGCGCAGACCCAACACTCTGGTGCGTCGTGATCTTTGATCGTACTGTTACTTCTGAAACTAACAGTCTTCATGATGACGTCGCCTTTTCTGTATAGATATGACAGCCTGTTGTTTTGTGTTTTTCTGCCAGGTACCGACTTCATCGCGCACATGCTGCCGTTTCTGAGCTGAAAAAATCGATCTCTGCTCCAGGAGCTCTCGGCTCACTGTTCGTCATGTTTGCTGTGTAAAATTTCTTGCTCTTTTGCCGGTATGAGAATGGAAACTCACTTTACGATTTCTCTGACTGCCTTGCGCATCTTTCGCCAATGTATGGAAGAAGCGTTTGGAAGCCCAAGGACGATTGACAGTCATGTTTGTCCTCGGGATTGGAAGGAAGCATGGATGTCATGTCTTGAGTGCTTGGACCAGACAGAGGGCAGAGTCTATGACTTGGAAGGCGATGATTGCATCATCTTGGCCCGGGTCAGACGTCTTCTGTGCGTGGCGTCCATGGACGACTGGTCCCATCTTAAGGTTACCACATGGCGGCCGTGCCGCACGGGACCTCCTGGCGTGACTTTCATGCCTTCGTCGGCAGGTACCATAAGAGTCAGTTTGAAACTGCTGTTGGCGACCTCGGCATGCTGCGTGCCGCGTGGGAGTCCGCAGCGGAGGTGTCGTTGCCATATGCCGCTTGGCTTTAAAAGGCAGAAGTGCAGCTGGAGGAGACTTTCTGGACTTTGTGAACGTCCCCGGTTGTCCGTGATGTTCGATGTGGCTGTTCCCTTGTCTTGGACTTGATCTGGCTTCCGTGTGCAGTATATACCGTTTATAGCCAAGGGAGCTAGCTTTGGCTTGCATGGATTGACGCGCCGTGCGAAGATCTAGCGCCTGAACGCGGCCATGTGATCGACAGAAAAGATCACGTTCATGACCGATCAGAACAGTTTCTGTGCAATCGGTTGCCGCTATTCTTGTGTTGCTTGCTTTCAGTGGGAGCTACATTACTGCACTTGCCGCAGTCGCTTGGCAGGTCCAGCACGCTGCGATGTCGTGATCTTTGCTAGTGCTGTTGCAGTTCACGGTGCTCATGTGTTTGTTATCAATCTGTGCTTCTGAAACTAACAGTCTTCATGACAGCCTGTGTTTTCTGTTGTTCTGCCAGGTACCGACTTCATCGCGCAGATGCTGCTGTTCCTAAGCATCATGTTCGGAAGCAGCGGTCGCATCTTTCTGTAGCCAGGTACGATTCCGTCTTCATCACGCCCATGCCGCCGCTCCGCTCGTGGAAAAAATAGGCGTGCTTGCGGACCTACCATACATACATACATACATACAGACAGACATACATACATACATACATATATGCATCCATACATCCATCCATCCATCCATCCATCCATACACACATACATACATACATACATACATGCACACATACATGCACACATACATGCACACATACATACATGCATACATTCATGCATACATGCATACATACATACATACAGACATACAGACATACATACATGCATACAACACAACTTGTCCATACACAACTTACTCACACTTACTCTTCCACACACAACTTACTCCACGCCAATCCTTCACCATCTCTATTTTCTCTTTCCTGCTCTCCCCATGCCATCTTTACCTTTCTTTTGCTGCTTGTTGGAAGAAGTTGACATGTGGGGTTATCCGGTCCTTTAATTTTTTTCAATTGCGGTCAAATCAATCCATCCGAAAGCCGAACAAAAATTGGACAGTTCAGGGGCGAAGACAAAAGTCGAACAACAAGGCAGACAGCAAATTTATTGAATTGTTGCGCCTTCCTTTTCCGTATTTATCATGTCAAACTCAACTTGTGCTTTGACAGAGAGGTTTGTGAACTGGTGTCAGCAAAGATGCAACAATCAAAAGATGAACAAGAAGCTGAAACAATTTATACCGCAGCAGGACGCCTGTTTTGATAGTGCACTTTTTTTTGGACTGGGTTAGTGGCTTGTATTGAGATGGCACGAGGACAAATTCATGTACATAATTCTGATTCACGATGAAATTGAGGTAAAGAAATATAATCAAGTATATGGACAGGGTGCCTTGTTACCTCATAAGCAGTGGAGTTGAAATGCCGACGACTGATAACATGTTTGGCAACATGTCTTCATCTAAAATAGGCGACTTCAATAGCTGAAAGGCCGACAAGTGCTGAAAGGAGAAAGCAGGATGACGGTACTACAGTAGAAAACCGAATGACAAGGGCTATTTCAAAAAGTGTTGCCAAAGTATACCGAAACAATGTTGTGCATGTAATATTTGTGGTTCTCATCTAAGTTGCAAATCCAGCTTGGCGGAGCACGAGAAAGCAAAAAGTGCCAGAGGTTCTTGGTGTAACCCGAGTATGTTTCTGGATGAAGAAAATATTGTAAAGCCATAGTCTCATACTGTCCAATGAGTAGGCTGGACGGTTCGGCAGAAGCTTTCGCGACAAAGACAAGATTATAGAAAACCTTTACGTACATACATTATTATGCGTAGGAGGGCAGAGGGCATAAGCCCACTTGAAAGACTGATACGAAAAGACTCAGAAATTTGATGTAGGCACAACTTTAGATCTAGCTTCGAAATGGATGAGGGCACAGACGAATAAACAAACAAGAAACTACACAAAGTACAATTCCTACACCACCGTTTTCACCGTTTTTGTGATATGATATTTTTAAAACGTACATCTCGCAACATGCCACTAACATCCATACATCCATAGTTAATGGATGTCAGTGGCGTGTTGCGAGATGTAGGTTCTCAAATTCAAACTCGATTGCCCTACGCTTTGGTTTGTATAGACATTTTCAGTAAGAAGTGCCATAGATAGTGTCAATATGCGCACCATCATGGTATGACACCAAATGCGATGCCAAACGCAATTCAAAACGAAATTTAAAACGCATCTAAATTTGTCGGTTGTTTGAAGTGCGGTTCTCTTTGCTGAGGATCTTCCCGACCTGAATCCGGAAGAGGAGCAAATAGTGAGTCCTGGGCTCAGAATTTGCTGGCCGTCGAGATATTTCTGGAATTTCGCATAAGCGGTGCATATTGAGTTCAATTCGATGTTCAAACATCTTCACAATCGAAGATAATGTTTGATGACATTTGTTATCCTTTGTTATGGTCGGCAGCAAATGTCCAAACCAGGAACCGATATTTCCCCGCGCAGTGGTCGGAAGATATTTGTGGCCAGCCTGCCAGAAGTGAATGTCATAAGGACGAGCAGCATGGGATCTATTGGGGTCTTGTAATTTCCTGCTTGGACATTTTAGGTCATGTCAAGTCATCTCAGGCTTGCCTACATACTGTTTACGGTATCTGCATGTTTAATCATTTTGATTGATTTTGATGCTTTTGCTTTGGATATGTCAGGGGCTTCATAGTTGCTTTGATTCTACTTAGTCGACTTAGTTCTGATAGCTTCCGGTGCAACTTGAGTTTCGGCTCTACTTTGCAGGACACAGCCCGGTAGTCCCAAGACTGAAGCCCGAGGAGTGATCGTGCAGCATTGGTGCAGCTTTTCCGGAGTGTTGATAGCATGTTGACATCATGTTCATTGATACACCTCGCTCGAGTCTAAACCACCCTCGCAAACCTCTCCTCATCAACTGTCTCAGTCTCCCAAGCCGTCTCAAACCTCATTCGTTCAACTCGTTCAACATCCCGACGTCTTTGTCCTTCGCATTCCTTCGCTCTCAGGTTGTTGCTGATGGACCGGTGGATGGATCAGTCGTCCTGCTGCCAAGAGTGACCGAGACTGAATTCAAAGCTCAGGCTATGCCGAGAAGATCCGAGCCGATGAGATCAATGGAAATTTCGTCAGATTTTGCGTCGCTGCAATTCATCCAAGAGCAAAGGCGCGAGGTCAGATGCTACAAGCGCTCCGCAGGTGAAACGTGCACCTCCGTTCTGGAGTAATTTCAGACATGAGACACCAGCTCTCCGAAGGCACTCGAGTTGAGTTGGTGCTGCGATGCTTCTTTAATTGCGCACATGCGAAACTCAGAAGTAGACTCCAAAAGTAGCGTTTCTACTTTGTACTATTTCCAGATTGCGCTTTCTGAGCCAACGAAAGGCACGATCAGATATCAAATGAAATAAATTCAGATAAACAACAATAAACATCGGTTTCTTCAGTTTCTTCCCCTACTCACCATTTCTCACCCGACTTTGTGCAACATTTATCAGTTGCATTATGAACATCGCTTGAACTTTGCGTCGCGGTGCGAGGGAATCTTTGCGAATGGACTGGATGAGATGTCGCTTAGGCCATGTGGCCATGGCCTTGGAACCGATGGATCCGATGGAACCGATGGAACCGGGAGCCGTACTGTGTGAAGAGCTCTGCTCCGAGGTTCCGGAAGCCGAAATTGAAGACATCAAGAAGGCGATGGCACTTTGGAAAATGGCATGAAGATAGCTGCAATATCTGGAGTGATGAGTGAAGATGACATAAACTTGAACGTGTTCTTCTTGAGTGGATAAAAGCACCAGTTGAGAAGTCAATCAGATCCATCACAATGGTTTTCCTGCCGCCTGCGCCCCCGACATTTTGTAAGCACTTCCTACTTTCAATTCGGGCCTAATGCTTCAGTGGCTCACGTTGGATGAGGCTCTCGAGCCTCATGTTGGATGGCTGCGGCTTGCCAAAATTTGGGAATGAATTTAAAGATTGTCCCATCTGAATTTTGAATATGCATATGAATCTTTGAAACTGCTATACTGTATACGTAGAGGAGCATAAACAATCATAAACACATCAAGATGCGCAGGGAAGCATGGCCCACGGTGTGCGGGGATGTAGGTGTCCAGGGTTTGAATTTTGGCTTCAATAAATCCTGCCCTTCACGGAGCTCAGCCAAGGATGTGCCTCTATCGCCGCCTGTCATCAATGGATGTGTCACTTGGCAACGTGCCTGTATACTGTAGTTTGTAGTGGCGCCCAAGGCAAACCCACAGGAAAAATCCAAGCGCTTTTTCGGAGTTCTCTTAGGTTTCCGTTGTTGCCATGCAATGCGACCCGTCTCAAGTCTCGAGTTTCCAGAGATCTTTTGGACGCTTCGCCCAAGGTCGGGTGAGACGGGCTTTGGCATCAGCCAAATTCAGGAGAGCTGTGCACGTTAGAATGTCTTCGTCTCATGGCACATTGACTTTGCATTCTCCATGTTAGCCTCTCTAAAATACGTTGTGGTGAGGGACGTACTCAGACAGCATGTGCTCGCTTGTGCACCTCTGTTTTTTTTCTCGCTAGCCCACCTACTGCAGGGTGTGAATGTGCAAACCTGTCAGGTTACAATACCGGCAAAATAGTAGCAATTTCTGAAGCATGTAACAATATTGTAACAATATTGCCTCAGCCCCCAGGTTCCCTGGTCCCCGTCCTCCCCTGGTCCCTAAGAAAAGACCCCATAGGGTGTGTGTAGTTGCGCAGTGCCACACTTCAAGTGACGTGAATGCGTCCGGTGTGCAAGTGAAAGATTTTCTGGTGCCCAAGTGAGTCAAGCCCCTATAGTCAGACATGAGGCAGATCGGCATATAGAACATACCATGTTGTGCACATCATCTTGAAAAGGACCATGTGCAGAACACGTGCACGGCACAGCGCTGCACAGTGAGCAGGCTGGGGAGCTGATGATGAGCACCGGAATCTGCGACGGCTCAACCACCAAGGCGCGACGGGCGGCTCCAGCGGCTCAAGCCACAGGGTTTGTGCTCCGTGCTTCGTGCTGTGCATTTCATCTGTGGCCCGGTTGAGCTGAGGTGGCCGACATCGACAGATTCTTCATTGCAGCAAAAGTAACCCCAGCTGAGTTGAAGAAGATTCCTGACCCAAATTGGATGTATGGAAGGCAAGGGATATTTGCGCACAAATATGTCTTGCGTGATGCTGCTCGTTGGTGGCGTTTATTCCATCTTTTTCTTTGCTGGCGCCATCACCCCATGGTTTCTGGAGTTAACGGTGGCAGTCTGGTTCTAAAGCTTGGCACGTGATCAACCACTGCGCGGATTTGGGTTCATGATACGTAAGAGTGCTGTGTGATGCTGTGTGCACGTCAGACCGATGCATGGTACATCCGTATCCGCGCTGACATTCCCACCGCAGGTACAGTTGGTACATGTTGGTAAGCAAACTTAACTTCAAGCTCAGGTTCCTCTGGCCAACAAAGCATGACAATAAAAGAATAGATTAACAGTAAATCAAACCTGTCAAGGGCAGATCCTCCATGCAATGACACACTGACTGAGGACACTGGCTGTGGTAAACGACAAGACGTTAGTCCGCTATGAGTTCCTGGAGCTCTTGCTTCGTCGCTGCCTTCGCTGCCTCGTTTTGTGGTTCACCGTGGTTCAGAAACCTTCAGCATTAGATGCATTGAATTGCAAAACATCAAGGCTTCAAGAGCTCCGCGACTAACTTGACAGGTCATAATTTAAGTCTGTCTTTTTTATGAAGCAGCACCTTGTGAAACTTGCAGCATTCCCAAGGGTTCTGGACTTTCAAAAGCCTTTGAGGAGCACTTGATGGGGAAATCAATGTGAAAATATGTGAGAAATGGTTCGCAATGGGCACTGCGGCCACCAGTTGAATTGTGAGGTGTGGCACACCATCACTTCTTGAAGTCTGGCGCTGGGGTCCTTAGAATCGCATACCTTGCATCTTGAGTCCATTTTCATGTGGCGCTATGCTTTTCATGTCTCCTCTAGCATTGTACATATTGCAATTCACAGTAACATTTGGCATATTTTGGCATAAACTAACTCGTACAAACTCGTAGTATCTCGTAATTCTACGTGAATCACTGCCTTGCCCAATTGGATCATCTCTCCAAGGCGGCCGAGAACATGGCCGAGGCTCAAGCCGGACTCGTTCAATCTTCATACCGGGTTCAAACGGGACCTGTGGTAACCTGACAGTAGTCGGAAACACTAGTAATGGGTAGATATCAGTAAATATCAGTGGTGTAAAAACGGAAAAAAATCACAGCTTGATGCAAAGCCCTGCATCAAACCCTCGAAACATCCTTGCGACTTCACAAGTTGCGGCATTTTTTTGCAATGTGATGAGCAGGGACCCAAAGCGAACCCCATAGCGAAATGCATAGCATCCAGGAGCGAACCTTGTGGCAAGCCCTATAGCAAACCCCCTGCTGATCCTGTCCCCTATGCCGTTTATGGCATCTTTTGGGACAAATGCCTTGCAAGGCAACAGTTCTGATCCTCAAAGCATTTGAGCCTGACGGAAGGCACGGTTGTTGCAACGGTGCCTCACCCTGGACAGCCCTGAGTGCCGGCGATGGCCAAACGCCGTGTATACCTTGAACATTAGCGTATACATTGCATACATATACGATCATATACAGTTTATATACATTCAACATTCGACATTGGCATACACATTGGGTATGCAGTTGCTGCGCGCAGGCGTGCAGAACAAGAACTTCACGGATTCTTCCGTGCTTTGTGCACAGAGGTCAGGATCCAACGTTTTCCCGCAGAGTTCTCAAGCATCTGCCGGTTTGCTATTGCATAAATTTGCTAGAAAGAACGAAATTGGCCAAAATAAAAGTTTACTAAATTCAACTTTCGGCTATGTACTGCAAAGGCAAGAAATGCAGCAGGAAATGGCATAACATAGGGAGGCGCAATGGAAGGTGCTTCAAGGCAATGCAAGACGGCCAGTATAGTTTGAACGGACATGAGGTATTCGCACGTATCAATTTACATACTTGCATGACATTCGTATTAGGTGCGTGGTGTCACCATGCGTACGCACTTGAGCACGTGATGTACTTGATAAACATCGGATTCTCGTTGCATGTGTAGTATGACCAACTCGCGAATTTGCATCGACAATAAACATGAGGCTCGAAACACGGGAGATGTTCTCCATAGACCTAGTGACTAGTCATGAGGGGTTGGTTTGTGAGCCTATCGTCACACATCCGTGCTGTGCAGGCAACGGATGATCTCTACAAGAAACACGCAGACCTTCTGGTGGGCCATTTGGAGCCGGAACTCTGACGTTCTCGGAGTCGCCATGAGACATCCCAACGATGTATCATTTTTTTTAATATGTTAAATTGCATTGCATACGCCCCGAACGTACATCACACTTTACATTTAGATACATTTAGATACATTAAGCATCTTTCAAAATCATTGATTGGCAATCATCGAACCTGCATCGCATCATATTTTGCCGTCCAGGCGATGGTGTACAAGCGCTTCGGCGGCTCAAAGACACCACCTGGCAAGCCAAAATTCATGGCCCTGACGCTCAAGTTTCCGTGATGAAAGAAATGAGTTTTGAGTCTTTCTCTCACACAGCTAGATCTTGATTGTAGACAGCTGAATTTCATCTTGAGCAGTGAAATATCGTTCTCAATGTTTTTTGCGCCTGTTTTGCTTTAGTTTTGCTTGCATTGAACTTGTCCTCCACATCCTCAAACACTCGGTCCAAGTACACCCTTTTCATCCCCCTGATCCCCCATAGGATCTTTCATAGGATCCTACCACTCTGGTTTTCCATCGCATGATGTGATGCTGAAGATTTTGGTGGTCCTTGTTTGCTAGAGGTTTATATCTTTGGCTTTCCCCCACCGGTTTCACACGGCAACCGTGAAGTTTCTGGAAATTTCTGGCGTGCATTTCTTTTCATACTGTGCCACCGGTCCACATCTTGACCGTTCTTGCACACAGTTCCACTGCAGGCGCTTGGCGAATTCCAACAGCTGCTGGAGCTGCCAATGTTCGACCAGTTCGGAAAATTGATCTTTGTCAGTTTGCATTTTTCGGCCCGTGTTTGTAGTTTTGGGAAGTTGGCATAGCAGTTGGCTTGCTGACTGGAGCTGAGTACAGTGACAGGAGGTAGCAAACATCCACGGCTTGGGCTTTCAACCGAGACAATCGTCCCTCGCATTTCGCATGGGCATCTTGGAGCAGAGTGAAGCAAGAACAGAGAAGTGAAGCTAGAGAAGCTAACAAACTCTTGGACGTAACGACTTAACGGCTTAGTGAAGCCAGATATAGCCTTACGGTATGTCTTAGTATGCCTTAGTGTGGCTTATTGTCTTAGTATTGTCGGACAAGCACCAAGGCATGATGTGCCAGAGTGATGAATCGGGTTCATCGAGATTCCAAGAAATGACGCTCTTCGGCCCGCAGTTTTGTTGTGCAAAGACTACCATCAAGCATCAATCACTCTGCCAGTCTCTCGAAACTTCGGCCCTCCGCAAGTTGAGAAATTCACAAAATAAAATTGAAACATGCCAAAGCAACAAATCCACGCCTCCTGAACACACAACGCATGCTGACAGAACTTCGAGTATGTTAGCTGGTTTGAGTTGGGGCAATTTTAAGGAGGCTTGTCGAGGCTTGTCGGTCAGATCAGGCTCTTAGAATTTCAGATGGCCATCGGTTCTGTGGCCTCTTGGTTGCACAGTGCATACATCGTTGCAGTATGTTCGGGCACGTTGTGTTTCCAGTTGAGTTTCTTTCCGTGGATACCACCTGCGCGGAGTTCAAAAGTGTGACATAGGTGCGCCATTGCAGCAGTGTGTCAAAGTGTTGACTGGTCTGCAGCCGTTAAAATCATAGAGTTTCCCATAGCTTCGTAAGAGGTTGCAAGATAGAGGCATTGCGCGTGTCAGCATGTGACAAAGAGGTGGACGCCTGGAACTTGAAAGCAGCAAAAAAGTCAACTCGAGAAGCAAACGCGACAGATAGAACTTCAGGACAGGATTCGAAGACGAAGACGGCAAAGGCAGAAGAACTAATGGCATGATACACGCGCTAGCGATACCGCAAAATGACACTGCAGGGAGCCAATCACTGATGGTGTATTATGTGTTTGAACATATGTGAAACAATACGACACACTTACATCCATGTGTCAATAATACATATGATATCTATGCAGAGAGAGAGAGAGAGGCTCGTTTGGACAAGTCTCGCTGGCACTTTCTACAGGCTTTCCTCGCAGCAGACTGTCAAGAATCAGAGATGCTGTCCATGCTCAAGCGCCAGACACTGAACTGTTGGACTCCGTTGGACCAAGTTTACAACTGCAAAATCTGCAAAATCTGCAAAATCTGCAACTGTCAGAAGAAGCTTGTAACTGCCACTCATGTGACTTGCGTAAGGTTGTGCGGCATGCTGCCTTACTAAGGCATTTTTAAGCTCCTTCTTGCTTTGGGCAAAGGATCGAAGGCACCCTGAATTTAAAGACGAGACAAAAAAGGGCCAGAATCTGCGATCGCAGAAAAAGAGAGAAGAAAGGAGAAGAAAGGCAGAAATTGAATGTTTGACAAACAATTTGACAACTGGTTTGAGATGATTTGACCCATTGCAGCAGCATTTGCATGGCTGAACTGTTCTGAATGTGTCTTGATGCTTCCTCAGCGCATCACAACTGGTCAGGAGAGGCCGAAGTGAGCTGGCAAAGCCATGATGGGCACCACTCGAAGCCACCCTAAGCCACCATGGACACGTTCGGGCGTGTGGGGGGTTTTGGCATTCAGATTCTTTTTGCTAAGCTGATCTTGACACATCCTGACTTAAGAAAGAAGTTGTCATGATAGCTGACAAAGATTTGATGCCCATGTTTTCATGTCTGCTGCAGTTGGTACCACGGTTCACATCTACTACAGTGATGAGTTTGATGCATTTGATGGATATTATTGCATGTTGTGAAAGTGAGACGACAGAAATCGTTGAGCCCTTTGTACAGTGGCGGGCTGCACCTGCGAGTCTGCGTCCATCTCTGGCCGTCTAAGACGGTGCCGGCTTTCTACCTCAGTGTGGACCTGGCGCAGACGAAAAGATATTGACATCGAGTAAAGGCATTGACTGGACCTGACATGTCAAACTAACACATCGCATTTCCTATGTCCTCCATGTCTTGCACTGTATATGTATATGCTTATGGATTTTGTATAGTTTTGTACAGTGAATGATTTTAGTGTCATTTGGTTTTTCGAAATTCATTCGGACTTCATGTGACACAGGAAAGCATGCCACGGTGACGGTGGGCGAGGCCATCTCTGGACTCAACGCGGAATACAGAAAAACATTGAAAACACATGGAAATAACAAAACAAACCGAGAGATCAAAAACAGCAAACAATATTGTTTGATTGTAAGCAGATGCAAGCAGCAAGGTGGAGCTGCTCTGTGTCAGCTCGTCTAGTAGAGCAAAGCTTCCTTTCCCATTGCGTCAGCGTCTTCGACTCCCTGTCTATAGGTGATGTTGGCTGATGTTAGTTCATGTTGGTTGATGCTGTAGTTGTACACAGTTGCCGTTTTCATGATATTTGACGTGTTTGACGTGTTTGCAGCATGCGCTGAGATTATCTTCGACCTTTTGGGTTCAGGCAGCAGCACGTGCCCGAGTCCGTCGAGCAAAGAGCATGGAAGTCGCACTGGCCTCGGATGTAAAGAGACACATGTAAGTGACTTTCAGTTGTTCGATCTTCACATGCCACACTTCGGTAGTCAAAGTCTAAGTTTACTTCGGGCGTAACGCATGTCAAAATCCTGTCGCTCTGCTACAACATGTATCAACATGCTACACTTCCCACTACCACTGGCCATCTTCTAACAGTAGACATGTGTCTTGTTTACTGAATCTTTCTACTTCTCCAAATCGTTCAATCCACGTTTCACCATCTCCAGGCCAAGCGATTGAAAAGCGAGGCAGAGGCCACCACGGGACCTGAGATGTGTTGCACTTGGGGCAGTTTTGACACGGGCGTCTTTTAAGCCATTACAAGCCATTGTTTCTTAGTCGGGGTGAACTTCACTTAGATCAATTTTAGTTTTTGTTTCAGCTTCGTCTGAAACGACTTCCACTTGTGTGCTTTATCATATTTTATCATTCTGCCCCGAAGGCAGAAGCTCATGCCGCAGAAAGAGCAGAGATTGCAGCGGCAGTTGCCGTGGCCTGGACAGACAGCCAGACATGCTTTGTTAAGGATTTGCAGATGCTTACTGAGGCAATTACTGTAAGGATTTACTGTTCATCTGTGTAAATCTTTGCTATGAAATTTGCATTCTGTTTGGCAATCTTTCAATGCTCATGTAAACTGTTTAAACTGATAGTTCCTTGTGGACCCTGCATGGCTACAATTCCCCTCAGCCCATGCGCGCAATACCCCACTCCACATGCTCTCGCGTGGGGAATCAAGTGTTTGTTCCTTTGGTTGAGGTGTTCCTCTTCGAAATCTTTCAAGAGTCTGGATTTGCCCTGTATATTCCTCCTGGATGTACATAAATAGATGCATATATCATCGGTTGAATTTCAACAAGCCCCGTATAGACATACATGTTGCTGTTTTAGGCACGTTGCATGTTTTTTGCCAATTGTAGATATTGTAAATTGTAAACCTAGAAATGGGTCTACTTTTGTGTCATTCATTTTTTCCTGTCGCTGAGGCACATCGGCGCCGAGCTGCACGCCGAGCTGCCTCAGAACAGCGTGCCCGACGCTGTGCCCAGAAACAGGACGTAGCATCTCGAAAGGATGAAATCCCATGAAATACATGAACAATTTGAAAACTTAAATGAATTCAAATGAATTCAAATGTCACATCATGATGAACATTGTTCAAAGATGTTCAAAGCATCATGTCCAACAAATGCAAAGAAAAAGGACATGTAACAGACAGCAATGTGTGAACGCTGCGCAAGTTTCATGCAGGAAATCAGAAAAGAAGATGTTGGTCATTCCATGAAAAGAACAAGATGTGGAAAGCCCGGAAGAAGGGGTTGAGCAAAGAAGCAAAGACGTGGAAAGGGATAGCACTCAACGACATATTGCTAAACTATGGCTATTTACATCTGTGTGTGTATTTTTTCTTAGGTTTGCACATAGACACCGATACAGACTTGTGAATTTTAAGTGTAGAGGGAGAGAATGAGCACGGCCGTATTTTCATTCATGGTATGATGACACATGAATCAACGCCAGGAAGATGAGCTTCAGGCTTTATCGGCTTTGCGTCGTGAAGAGCAGCGATCCATGGGTTTACGGTGCCCTCCTGAAATGCCTTGACATCACTCATCAAACATCAAACATCTAAACAGCATTCATTTCCACCGTGCTTACGGATGTTTCGTATTGCTTCGTATGGCTTTGCAGATGATTTCCTTGGCGCGATAGTGTTCCGGGCTAGGTACGCGAAGAGCGCAAGCCGCCGCGTGGAGAGCGAGCGTGCACGGCGAGAGGAGATTTGCTCATATCTTGCAGCATCTTGCATCTATGGCAAGCTCTCTATTCTCTTTTGGCATTCATTAGCTACACAGTTTTGGATGCATTCCGGCAGCACAGTCAAAGCAAAATGCCACGCAGCGGGGTCATCCTTTCCTGAGCCTGTGCAGGGTTTGCGTTCATTGATGGAGCAGCATGCAAGACTTATCGAACAGAATCCCTGCTATTAGCTGACTACACGGGTATTCAACGAGTGAAATAGGAGAAGATAAGCAGAGACACAAGAGATAAAGAAAAAAATTGCAAATTCGGGCACCTGATCTACGGATATTTATCAAGGTCAGATCATTTGGGCAGAGAACTCGTCTTTTGAAGGGGGGCCACTCATCAGACAGAATCCTTTCAATGCTGTTGGCCAGTCACCAGAAGAATTTGCGCGGAGCGATGCAAAAAAGCATGTTGGGGGGATTTATGAAGGTTTGCCTGGCGATTTACGATGAATTTCAAACAGAAGCACCCTGGCCCTTCGAGAAAGAGATGCAACAAGAAGGGGACCACTAGTCACTAGTGCGGTATATGCACCAAGTGCAAAGGAGTTTCATGTGCTATTTACGCCCAAACAAGTAAGCATGAGCTAAGCTTTTAGAAGAGGGTGTTTCTGTCACAATGCCAGTTTCGAGTGCATCGTCAGGATTTGACGAGAGATATTTTGGCCGGCCTGCATGCACGGATTCTTGGAAACAGCGCGGTTGGTCTAGCTAGCATTGTAATGCATAGGTTTCTTGTTCCTTTTGTGAGACATGTCTCATACGCTCACTTGCAGAGGCTGAGCAAGCTGCTCGACGAGAGGTGCGGCCACAAAACTGCGAAACTGCACAGCACCTCGAGCTGATCTATTTGACAGCCCCCCCTTCATCCACCCCACTTTTGTTATCTACAGACATACATGGCATATGTATGTATCTATCTATCTATCTATCTATCTGTCTGTCTGTCTGTCTGTCTGTCTGTCTATCCATCGATCTATCGATCTATCGATCTAATCGATCTAATCGATCTGATCTATCTAATTTATCTCATCTATCTAATCTAATCTGTCTACTCTATCTAATCTATCTATCTATCTATCTATCTATCTATCTATCTGTCTATCTATTTACCTATCTATCTATCTATCTGTCTGTCTATCTAT